TTCTGAAGGCACATCTACAAATCTGAGCTTTCACAAGTTTCAGTACACATGGTCAAACCTGGGTGCACTGTACTTTCACAAATGTCCTGCCAGGTAAGGTTCTGACCTTATTTCCACATGCCACTCAGCTGTGCTTTTTATTTGTCTGGCCTTTGTAGAATAAACTATTTCATTTTGACTAACACCATCCTTAACACAAGCTCAGTGCAGGCTCATCCAGTACTGTCAAGTTCACATCCCTGTGATCTTAGGTTTCTTTCTTAACATTACATCATTGCTTGTCTTTAACACACCAAAGTAAGTTGCTTTCGAATGTGCAACAGATAGGGGTGTATGTTGCTGGTGTACTCCTTACACACCATTTAAGGAGATGTATCCTTCCTTCACCTGGTCCATTCATCCATGCATGCATCTGAGTATTGGTCTGAGTATTCAGTCATCTAAAGCAAGATGTTTCCATAGCTACTATCTAGATTACCCTGAAATTCTGTATCAATATTCAGTGCCTGAAGTGGAGGACACCCATTGACTTTTGTTAAACCCTATGACCTTTTGTCCAATTCAATTTTCCCCTGACAAACCATAACAATATCTCTCAAAAACAGATGAATTCTTTTAGATTTGCTACAGATAATCGCTGTCCCCAGAAAATGAATCCTAATGTGTTTGGAGATTACCTAATAGTGTCACTACTATCACATTAACATTTCCACTTTTCCACATGAAATCTATTGGGCAGATTAAATACTGGCCACATCCATGATCCCCAGAGGATATACCATTTCTGTTTTGGACACATCTCCTTTGACTCCACCTCAAGGGCAAATATTAATTATTTATTTTACACATAATATAAAAAGCTAGACTTGGCTCATTTGAATTTGTCTACACTTGCATGGTCGCTAGAGGATGAATCTTTATGTTTTTGGTGACTTTTTCTTTCTCATCACTATCTGGCCAAAATCCACTTGAAGACATCAAAGTCTAATAGGCAGATTGCCATTTAATTCACTTAAATTCGTTTCGAACACAACAAGACAAAGAGTTTACAGCCACGCTAACAGCCAGTGTCAGCACTACAACAAAATTTCCAAGGGGGCACAAGGCTTATAGCAGGGGGCACCAAATAACTGGCAAATGATATTGACCTTGACCAAAATGTTTTACTTAAAACATCACAAGGTAACAAATAACTAAGTCAGAGCAAATTGACAACACAGGAAAAAAAATATTCAAATAATGTCACTGTGTTGGTATTTGCAGACTGGATGTTAAATAAAAAACACAATAATTATACCCGTGTGAACATGATAACATGGTGGGACATTTATGCAACAAAACTAAAAACTATAGCTCAATCAAAGCGGTCTAAAAAAATTATTTCATTGAATGAACCTGGACTGTGAATGACCTTTTGTATGTGTAGAAGAGAACTGAATATTAATTAACCTATCTGCAATTTAAATTGTCAGTGAAGTTATGCTGCTGTGCCTTGTGCGTAAATGCACATAGCGTCTCTCTTAATGGGAAGACGCTTTACTCTATTTCACCCACTGGCAGCCCATCTGCTATTAATCAGAAAGTTAATTTTTATGACCTGGCCTGCCTTATCCGCTGATTATCACTCATATAACAGTCATATGCAATCCACACATCAAGCCTCCTCTGTTACTGGTGGTTGTTTGTAGAATAGACTAATTCAGTTAAGTCAGTATCCATTAGGGCTGAACTATTAATTGCATTTGCGATATTATCGCGATGTAATAAAACGAGATTTTCTAATCGCAAAGGCTGCGATTACGCTCTGGTCACATGACACCCAAGAGGAAAGCAGTCTGCACGTTACGCTGTACCTTCTTGTTGTACAATGGCCTTAAGCTAGCCAGAAGCTGACACTACATAAACTTTAGTGTCACTCTTTAGTGTCATGAAAGCAGCACTTGCCACCCGCGGGTAACTTGGTGGTGGTGATGGGTGAAATCGTCGGGCCATCCGAGGTTTTGACGGACAGGAGAAATGCACAATAGAAAGACACACGTAAGGTTAGCGTATCGTGGCGATTGGCGCCTACGTCGCACACACAGCCACCAGTCAGCTCAGGAAATATCTGTGAAACAGTGTTTCAAACCAAATGCACAAGTCCAAACGAGGCCCAGTCTGTCCCGAGTTACTGCCCGGTTACAGCCACCAGCATCACAGGCTGCAGGGGAGGAGGGGGACTCACTTTTGTTTTATTTTCGTTGTCCAACTTTTGAATTGAACCTCAAACTGAGTATTTTTTTGTTTGCTTACTGGGATACAGAAAGATGGACTCCTAGGAGATCTGAGCTGAGATAAGGATGCATTAATTGGTGGATGAAATGTGGGTTTTGTATTGAGCGTTTACTATATAACACTGTGGTAAGTTAGATTTTCTTGTGGTCTGTAGGTAGGCCGACATGATGATATTATATCATATTATTTAATGCCATGACTTAACTCGAATTAGCTTTCTCATATTATTATAATTTGATATATCTTCTCCACCATTGCTCATAATAATAATAATTATACCTAATTCATCATAACACAGGCCTGACCCACAAGAAAGAACAGTGTAATTCTATCTATCTAATATTGTGTTGGTTATACTATACACTGATTTACTGCTTGTCCATTCTGAATAATACAGAAGGTAAAGAGCTTAAAAATGAATCACATATTAAATCGCTATATTGGTTTAAAAAATCATGAGATTATTTTCCAAAATTGTTTAGCCCTAGTATCCATAGTCAGAACATTTCAGAATCTATAGGAAGGAAGAAGAACAGCATAGGGCATAGTAAAGAAGAAATGGACAGAGAAAGAGTGAGATTGCCTGAAGGTAGGCTGTTAGCCTAAATTTTATTACAGTCATCAGAAAACATTGAGATGCTTGGGGGCACAGTCAATGAAGTGGGAGGGGGAGCACTGGCCCCTGCTGCCTCCTCTGCTAACGGCTCTGAGGTGAAAATGCTCATTGCAAATTAAAATTTTGACCAGAAGATGACACTGAAAGAAACACCACCAAAGTCGGTAGACTTCCTCTGGAGACCATGAATGTCTGTACAAAATTTCATGGTAATCCATCAAACTGTTGTTGAGAAATATCAGTTTGGACCAAAGTTTAAATCCTCTAGTGTGGCTATAAAAAGTGTTTGCTGTTGGTTCCATCCATCTTCATCCGCTTATCCGGGATCAGGTTGCGGGGGGAGCAGCATCAGGACCACATCATCCGCAAAAAGCAGTGACGAGATCCCAAGCCCACCGAACCGCAGCCCCTCCTCGTCACGACTACGCCTCGATATCCTGTACATGAATATCACAAACAGGATTGGTGACAAAGCGCAGCCCTGGCGAAGGCCAACCCTCACCTGGAAAGAGTCCGACTTACTGCCGAGTACTCTGACACAGCTCTCGCTTTGGATGTACAGGGATTGGATAGCCCCGAGAAGGGCCCCCCTCACCCCATACTCCCACAGCACCTCCCACAGTATCTCCCGGGGGACCCGGTCATACGCCTTCTCCAGATCTACAAAGCACATGTAGACTGGATGGGCATACTCCCAAGCCCACTCCAGGATCCTTGTGAGAGTAAAGAGCTGGTCAGTTGTTCAAACCGTATTGTTCCTCTTCGATCTGAGGTACGACAATGGTCTGAACCCTCCGTTCCAGCACCTTGGAGTAGACTTTACCGGGGAGGCTGAGAAGTGTGATACCCCTGTAATTGGCACACACTCTCTGGTCCCCCTTTCTGAACAGGGGAACCACCACCCCAGTCTGCCACTCCTTGGGCACTGTACCCGACTTCCACGCAATGTTAAAGAGACGTGTCATCCAAGACAGCCACTCTCCGGGAACCATCACCAACCAACACTTTTATATTGAGGCTTGTACATGTCAACAATAGGACAAGCCCATTCCCTGAAGCTTTTTAAGGATGTGTAGATGCAATAATATTAAAGGCAGCACAACTGAAGTGCTGTGAGTGACTATTGCCCTTCCAGAGCTTTAAAAGTACTAAAAGGGAAACTGGGAAAACTGGATTATCTTGTGAACAATCTGCAAATTCTCCTATTGCAGGTTTCCCAACATTTCTCGGGATCTGTGTCCATTTAAAATGTGTCTTATTGCTGATCTTGCAGTTTCTGAGATCATGGCAAACTATGTTTTCTAGGCTAATGAAGGCTCTACTCTGACTAACGGCAGCACTGCAATTCTTGTTTACCTTTATAGATGCGATCGGCAAAATCCTGAAAGAGTTCATTGTCACCAAACAGAGGGCAACAGAGCCAGCATTGGATCCAGCAATTTTGAAATTACACTGATCAACATACTGGGGCATCACAACATGTAAGGCCTAAAATATTTTCAATAGATTTTACTTGACTGGCTTATTGTAACACACCATTGTGTTTTATATTTAGTTGTTGTGTAGCCCAATGTACCTCTCTTTTGCCCAGAGGGCTTAAAACCCAGGAGCATCAACTGATATACTGAAAATAACCTGTTAAGAGATTTGAATAAACACGTCCTATAATTTCTGTGACAGAGGCCAGTTCATCACTAAACAAGTCTTTCTTTGCAAAATAATATAAATGTATTTTGTCCCACTTCTTCTTTTTAGAAACCTCAGTATTCCCTTGTAATTTGTTCACAACATTTTGTTTTTGTTACCCATTTCTAATCTTAATCATGAATTCAATGTGTATAATTTTGAGAGGTTGTCTGTTTTAGTATTTTGTCAGTAAAATCATGTTTGAGGATTCGATCAAATGATTCGAAAATGAATGAAACGTCTTAATGTACAACCGTAAATTACATTTTTACCATCGGCGTAATGCTCAGGGCTTTAGTTGTAGGTGTATATGATAGGATGCAATGCTGCCAACTGAAGGGAAACCATTGCACGCATTCTCAGTGCACAGAAGCGTTTCTGTGCACGTCCTAGTAAAGCTCTACAGCAGGGCGATTTTGCGCGTTCCCGTGACTCTCGCCATAGAAAACAAAGCTGAACGTCTTCCATAACAGCTAGGGGTGCAGACTTGAGGAATATCCGAATTTAGCCTGGATACATTATGCTGAATATGGATTTACAGGGGGTGTAGCATCGTTGGAGACCAAGCCTTCTCGGCTGGGGTGACGGCAGGACATTAGCGAAACCGACGAAAATAACATCAGTATTTTTTTTTCTCGGGTTGCTTTGTCTTGTCCACCTAACGATAGCAAACCATCATTCCCATTTCAATTGCAACACATTCAGCTAGTGATTACTAGCTGCTGCCGGGACGTATCACCATGTTGTCACCTAAAAGTAACTGCTAGGACGTCGGATTGTGAAGGATAAGCAGAAACCCTATCTTACGGGTGTCACCGGGACCTGAACCTGTGTTAACCACAGCCGCGGAACCCACTGTTTTCGGCGATATGGCGGAGCAGGGCTACACATCTTGGTGAGTGCGCACAGGCATCGCGCTACCGATTTGTAGTAGCTACTGAATGTTAGCTGCTGCTACTGACGAGCCTGATCGTTATAGATCACCTAACCGTTGAGTTATATTTTTGACAATTCGTGGTAATACTTGACTATTCACACACACGCATTTAGATGTATTTGTCACCGTCTAGAGAGCAAAATGCCACTCATCCAAATATTTTTCTCTTTAGCTCTGATAAATGTAGCTTGCTGGTTGGCTAGCAGCGGCTAATCATCTCCACCAGCTGATGCTGTGCTAACGCAGCTTCGCTCAGTGGAGCTATTGTGAGCGAGAGCTACAGAGCTAGCTGCCCAGCTAACGGCTTGTTAAACTCATTGGGTTAGCCACTTAGTGAATGACTCTTTCGCTCCTATTATTCTGAAAATTGCAATTTGGCACGGTGTGCTACCATTGAATGACAGTGTCACATTAGTGCCAACAAATTAGTGTTAGCTGCTTAACGTAGCTAGCATTCATCGTCGACACCACTGCACTCAATAACAAAGGTTCTGCTGTAGCGCTAACGTTAAGCTAGCTAACTGGCATCGCAGTCAGGTCCCAAACTCCCAGTTTCAGGGTGAGCTTGGCATTGTGACACACCGACAGGTTGTCAATCACATTTTCAGAATTGTGAGGTTTACACTCTTGAAGCCAGGTTAACGTTATAGTTTAATTTTGGTGCTTGGTGAAGAATGGATTTTACGAAGCCAGACATAGATGATGTGATAATTGAAATGCGTTGTCCCCATGAATGAAAATTACCTGACTTTTGTTGAGGCCTAACAGTTAACGTTAGCTAATTAATGTAGACTAAATTATGCTTGTTTGAACCCAGCAACACGGGATGAGTGTTTTGTAATGATAATTTTAAGAACAGCATCCTCTTGTGTGTAAATAGTCCAAACCAGTGACCCTTAAAGAGCAGACTAGGTTAATTGAAATGTAGAGGTCCCCAGAAATGCTGTGTTTTGATCCTATGGATATGTGTAACTATTATTGTGTGTCTATATTTATTTTAAGGGGGTTCTTTTTCTGGAAATGCCTGTCTTTATAGTCTTAACATCAATTGTCTGACTTATAAGTTTAAGATTAGTTTATAGAGGCCTTTCCTGCTGTGAAGCTATTTGTAAGGGCATGTTGTTTTTAAAAACGTTAAATAGAATGGCTTTGTGCCATTGTTGTTATATGCATGGTTAGTCCTAAACATTCTGTCAGAAAGCTGCAGAGTTTGGGGAATTACTTAGAGAAGGAGAAAGATGCCCAATCACCGCATAATTTGTAGGATCAGGTCAAAAGTTTCTTATCAACAGAGACAATTCACATTTATTAAGGGTTTTTTTCTTCAGCTCATTCATCTGGCATTTTGATGCAGTTTTTTCTCTATTCTAAATTTGACCTGCATTCTATAAGGTTGGGGGGAACTGTTATGACATTAATTCTTACTATCAATATTCAGCATGTAGGAAACAGCGTTAGTCATCAATCAGGGACAGCCATTGTTTTTTTGGGGGGGGCTGTACTTTTTGAGAGGCTTTGTGTATAGTGTGATGTTGTTACTAGAAAACAGTTACCAGCTGACCCCCCTCATAAACACTGACATAAATATAATGTTTTAAATGCCATGTGCAGACTGAAACTAGTGAATTAGTTTGAGTTTAAAGCTAAAGGTCTCTGGCTAAAACCTCAAACTCGGTTGATTTAATATTAAATGTTTTAGGTTTTTCATTGCGAAAGTTTGCATGACATGTTTCTTTACAGTGATGGACTGGACATTTTCTAATGATAAGAGGACAAAGACACAACACTTAAGAGATACAGTCTTTAGCCCTATTCACACGGGACTAATATTACCTGGGGACCGTTAGTAATTTGTAGTAATTGTGGACGTCGTCTGTGATCTTAATCCCGTGCAAATTTGCCATGTCAGTAATTTGTGAAGTAAACATTACACCGCAATTACCTACCATATCTTTCAAATTTTATAAATATATGATGATAAATAAGTTCACTTTATGTCGTCTGATCCAGTGTTGGTATTGTTTTTAAGACTGTCATGGTACTTTCTTCACAGGTAGTCCAACCTTTCTCTGCACTTGGTCCAATCTCCCAAGTCCTGTACAAACAATTACTGGAGCAAGAGGTCTTGTGGAATATTTTCCCAAACACAGTGCTTTTGAACTATCACCATTTCGGGTAATTTATAAATCCCATGAGGTCCCCTGGTATTAATAGTCCTGTGCGAATAGCTCTTAAGGCGCCATTTAAACCTGTATTAACATGTGATCTATATCTGGATAATGACATCCAATCCACAGGCCTTTATTTTATTTGTCGTTATCTTTCGTTGAGTTTACATACAAAGTCAATGCAAAGACGCGTAGAGCCGCGATTTCCTGTCAGGTGGCGCGAAGCGTCACGAAGGGGGTCGGGCCGGCAACGAGAAGGAATTCGCGTGAGTTGAATATTTTCAACTCCAGCGAAGAAGTCACATGACGCTGAGTCGCGATAGCCTATCAGTGTTGAGATTGTCCGGTTGTCACCGAGGCTTCAGAGCGTTGTGTGGAGAGCGCCAGGCAGAGCGGCAAACTTAGGGGAGAAGAGCTAGGGGAGCAACGCTGCAACCATTGCACAAATAAACACCCATAGTCAGTCGGATTCGGCTCTGACAACTACGGCGGTTACTCGCGGGAGGAGCTCGGAGTTAACTGCTGTTATTAAATTAGCTTTTTACTTTAGTTTTGGGGATTTTAACGTTGATTTATCTTCACTGGAGCTTCTCAGCAGCTAGCTTCCATGCACATCCGGTTCCAGTGTTGTTGTTAGGATCGTTAGCTCTGGCGGACTACAACTTCATATTTGTATTAAAAACTGGACATTACTTGGAGAAAAGAAAGCGAGGAGGTTGAACTACCTAGTGAGTTCAGAAAACTTTTGTCTGTAACTTTATTCCAGCTATCATTGTACTTTACTGTGACCAAGTTAGCATAGCATAGCCCTGATCGATCCGAACTGCATTCAGAAAACAAACATTTTAGAAGTTGTTGTCCTGCTATCTTGCTGACAGACCTGACGACAAAGCATCAATTCATATGTTTAACAAATCTGCATCATGTTGTAGTTATTTCGGCATCAGTTTAATCCGTTTATTGCTATTTAATCACAGCGAAATGTTTACTATGGGTTCATACAGTTGTAGTAATGGCCAGTTGTGTTTATTCCCCTTATTGCGTTAAAATCGCCTTCTCGCGTTATGTGTGAACACTTGCAGGGAATGTACTCACGCGAGGAAAGCCTTGCGAGGCGAAAATTCGCATTTGGTCTGAAAGCACCATAAGATCATTATTTTCATATAACTCCTGTTAAGACAACAAGTGTATTTCTTAACCTGACATGTTAAGAAATACAGTTGTTGTCTTTTCCTATAAAAATCACCCCACCTCCATTAGAGAAATAAATCCCATCTACATGGGGCTTGAGTGTGGAGTTGCTTGTCTTAACGTGCAAGGTGCAAGCTAAGCAGAAAATCTTAAGGACATTGACCATCTATTGAGCCAGAAATGGTCTGAATGTCACTGAAGATCTTATGAGATAAAGGTGGCTAAATAGTTGAAGCGAAATCAAAGCTTGTTTGTTCTCATGGGCAAAATTTCTGCTTTGCAGTCAAACTGATAAGGCTTTTGCTCTTACCACTGCAGTGTGTGAAGACACCAATCTGTTCAAGATATTGGACAGCTTTTTACATGTTGACATACAGTCAGTTTTACAACAATGTCACATGACTTTGCTTTTTTACATATTTCCTTTTAATTTTAATGTGTTTCAGCTCAAGTTGCGAGCGTGTATGCGCATTTAAGACTGGTAGCTGTAAAACAAAGTGGAAGCTGAACATTTTCAGCTTCTATATTGTTATTATATCCATCTGTATTTTCCTTAACATTACATAGTAGGTGGTGTCTTTACTATATATACCAACACCAGTAAGGTAAAAAAAACTTAAAGTTACACTAGATGCTAGAGCAAACATAACAGAACTTCTGTTATGTTAACAGAATGTTACTTACTGCCAGTTTTGTCTGTTTTTGTTACTCTGCCTTAGTCTCTGTTACTGATCAGCAGGAGAGGAGCATCCAGACTAACCCCAGATTATGTCACATCTTGAGCCATTTAATGTAACCCCATGCCCCCATTACCTTGGAAGCAGAAATAAAAACACCCACAGAGTTGTGAAATACCTCACGTAATAATGAGCAGTTCTGTATTTAAAAAAACATTCACGCATTTCTATACTAAAACCATTACATTAATCAGCCTCAGGAATAACTTATACAATTTGTTGTATTAGTAGTAATTGGCTGTGTGTACAGACATTCGGTTTGGATGCTGTGCCCGACATCCAAACCGAACATTTCTGTTCTGCACAATTAGCTTTAAAGCCACTATGTTGTAGCAGGATACCGGATAAGTTGCTAATAAGTAAACCACAGCAAGCCCTGTAAAACTGGCTAAGTTACAGCATTGAAGGTGTCTTGTTTGATAGCAGGTTAGTTGTAGTTTGAATCAAGATGTAATAGGCTTCACAGCAGCAGGTAGCTTTGCAGCTTGCTTGATTCCTAACCATCGGTACATGACTTTATGTTGCCAACACACTGGGGACTTGTTTTTTTCCCTACTTTCTCTTCCTCATTTTCAGTTTTGCAGTTTGACAAATGCATGCTGTGGCAGTCATTTGAGGTGAAACTGTGAAAGTGTGCGCTTCCTGAAGGGCACACAGTGATATACAGTCACATAGACATATTAGGTAAGAGCAGCCCTATGCACTTTCTCATATAGTAAATAATAAATGCGGTGTGCCACTCTTTTTTGCATTTGTATCCGGGAAACATCAGTCTCTGTGCTCGGTGGTATCTTGTGAAAGCTGCTAATTAGGAATCAACAAAGAAATTGTCTTTTATCATAAACCATTATATTTTTCAACT